TATATATTAATATATATAAATACAATGTGCTACTGATATCAGATACGAATATAATACTGAAGTTTAAAAGGAAGTTTAAGGCCCATCTAGGCCCATTTAGTCAATGACATCGGGACTACAACTCAAGCCTGTGTCCATTCATCATCCATCCACCATTTCATCTGCTGTCACAACACTCTTCTAGTTAACCGTGAGATTGAACCTATTGCTTGAAAAGTGAAAAAGCATTTTGAATTTCACCTTCATGATTTCATAACTACATAATCCCAGGGACCTTTGAATATGATGAGTTCAACTATGGAGTATTCACTCAGTTTCTGCTATTCTTCTTCCTCTATTCCCTATTTCTTAAGTGTTCTTTTTTCTTGAGTTGGGAAAATGTTCTTTGTGTTAAATAAATTAACTTCATTTGGAATTACAAACTTAATTGTCGCACTATTATATTTGTTCAATGCTTTGGAGGGTTTTGTGTCATAGGTTTGTTTTTCCTCCCACTGGATGAAAATGTATTTGGAAGATGTTCCCTTATCATTATATGTATGGTATGAAGCAGAATAAAACATCACCTTTATGGTGTCAGTAGATGGGCCACACGCTCAACATGAAGATCATAAGATCATGGAATGGGAAGGAGTGAAGATACATGAATTTTCTTTAGAACAGCTTGGCTAATATGAAACTATGGATGTGCTTTTAAATGGATCTCTCACTTCTATTTTTTAGGGTTATGTAAGGTAGTGCGGGTAAGAGGAAGACTCTGACATCACATCTCCTTAAGTCTGAATCTTAGCTGTGCTGGGTGAAGGTTGTTTGAATCCCAGCTGTGTGACTATGTGCAAGTTATTTAACCACTCTCCACATCAGTTTTCTCAACTTCAAAACTGATAAATAATGATAAGACCACTGTGAGACTTAATAAGTTAGTAATTTGAAAGTGTTCAGCACATGACCTTGCATATCAGAAATGCCTAGTAAGATTTAGTATCATCATTAGCTAGCTCAGAGACTCAATATGAAGGACAGAGACAGGGATCTGTAGTTAAATCCAGAAATCCAAGACAGATTAGGAAAACTAGTCACCCCAAAACTGAGACACTAGCTGTTTTGTATCTTGAAAGATGCAAGTAGCACCTCCTACTAAGGGAAATGTTCAACGCCATGGCTTGTTGAAGAAGGCTGGCAAGTATCTCTGAGTTAGTGGCAAAGCTGACATTGATTTACCTGTCAGCTCTATGGGTGGGTTAGACACAGGTCATTCCTAAGAGGAGATTTATACCTAAAATCTATAAACTACCATGTACATAGGTGCTCCTGTAAAGGGGTGGAGTTGAGAGACTGCTAAGGCAGGTCTGAGAGAGGCTGAATGAACACTGTTGGAGTCATCACTAATAACAGAGCGTGTGGCAGCCACAACCCCAGAGCATCCTGGTAGCAAGGGACATGGATGGAGAGCTCTGGTCGTGACAGTGGTGGCAGAAGTCCAGCACGGGCAGTGTGCAGGAGAGACACCATCTGCCCGGCAGCCCCTCAGGATTCCAGTCACAGCCAAGCAGGTGAACGTGGCTGGAATTCATTCACAACAAAGATTGTAACTAGTGCATCAAAAATGAGTGTCTGGGGAATATAGTCAATGACTCTGTAACACCTTCCTATGTTGAGAGATAGTACCCGCACTAGAGGGGGTGAGGATGTAATAATAACTGTTGAACCGCTGTGCTGTGTATTTGAAACCAATATAAGATTGTATATCAACAATACTTCAATAAAAATTAATGAATGTCTGGGAAGAGTTCATCTAGTTTGGGCCACTGTTTCTGAGGACAAGAGGGAAAACACAGCCATTTTATTTGCCTTCCAAGTATACGTTGTTTTACTGGGTGTAGCTTGTTGGGAAGATACGACATTGGTGAAAAGTAGCAATGGGTGGTGTGTACGTGGGCGGCAGTGAAGAGGGGACATACCACAGGAGAGAGGAACAGCAGCGTTAAACAAAGTTTCCATTTTCTAATCTACTCTATTCATCGTTGTAGATCTTAACTCATTCTTTTCAGAATGAGCATTAACTGAAGTTATGCTGAAGAAAGTTAGCTGAAGAGAAAAAAGAACAAGAAGTTAGCTGAAGAAAGGGTCTGTATCTAATATAACCGAACATGGAAGTCTTTGGAGCTCTTTATACATGCTTCTAGAACCCAAGCATAGTGAATTTTAAGAATATCTCAGTGGCTATGCATTACTGTGCCAAGAGCCACAAAATAGGTCTTATTAATTTGGTTCTAATTATTTACCAAGCACTGTGCATATACTTCACAATTTTAAACTCAAATAACCCAATTGGATAAGTATATTTTTTAAACCCCATTTTTCCAGTGAGAATTAAGACACAGGTAAATTAACTAAGTTGTCCAAGATAACAAGAGTAAATTTGTAGAGCCTGAATTTTAATCTAGTGAATTGGACTTCATAGTTTGAGCTACAAATCCTGACTACTTGATTTTATCACACTTTTGGTCACTAGAGCAGCTCAAATGTGGGGAAAAATCTTTGTCATATGTAGGGTCTGTACAAACAATTTGAAAATTCTTGGTCTAGCTGTAGTGAGTCTGTAGAGGAGACAGAGGACTAAGATTAGTTGATTGGATGGTGCTCAGGAATAAGTGTGAAGAATTAGGCATATTTAATTGGAGTTCATAAAATACTACAGATTTCCAAATCTTAGAAAAGAATATTAACTTCAGATCATGTGAAATTGACATAATCTAGGTACCAAGGAAGGTATTTTGATGAGATAGAGTCAGATTCTTCTGCAATATGATCTTGATTGTGTTAATGTTTGTAATTCTGTTTTTCGTACCATCAGTCCCTTTATAGTTAAATGATCCTTTTGCAGATTTTGAGCTTGTTGTAGACTAATGGTTTTAGGAAAAAAATATTTTGTTTCACGTTGCATCAGAGTCTCAAACACCTTTCTTGAAGCCAAAATATCCTCCTGTAGTTCTGTTTCCCATTCCTCCAGAGAGTCCCTGTTACTACCTCAGCTTGAAATGCTTTCATTTCAGGAATTGTTCTGAATTCTTCCCCTGGGATGCAAATGGAAATAATGACAATTGAGTGAAAAAAGAACTAAGAAAGGAACAACTGAACAAAGCAAGCATATTGTACTTTCTTAGACAATTGATAATTCACTGGTACAAGTTGTATCACAGCTATGGCTTTGAGAAGCCATAACATATACCATAGGCAGATAGTACAAACAGAGTAAATATCTGAAAGTTATATTAAATTTTGAATTTAAAAACACCTTTCTATGTTTGCATCATATGAAGTCTTTGCCTGATTTTCTGTATAACTTTCTCTGGCTTATGGAAACAAATTCACTAATGGATTCAAAGAAAGTTGTTCCTTGGAGCACAGAGACAAAACTGGTGTGGTTGCATCCAGACCCACAGGCAAAGAAATCTCAAAAGTGAATATGGAGAACAGTTAATTCCTCACTCTTCTTCCATTGTTCACTATGGTGTTGCTTCAGTACAGGGCTAGTGCCCTTGCAAGAATTTAGGAAGTGCTAATTGACAAAGATAATAACGAAAGAAGACTAAAAATCAAAGAAAAAGCTAAGAATAACACCTCTTTTAGCAGTTGCCTGCCTTATCACTATTGCTTCATAGAGAGTCGTATGCTGTTTATTTAAATTGAATGTGCAGAGTATAACACCTGGATTAAAAGCCCTCTTCCACCATAAACCCTGTCAAACTTTCAGTGGGGTTATTAACTGTTGTTCTTTTTTCTCTTGGAATGAGCTACATTCCCTCTGACACTGTATATGTTAGGAAACTGATGTAATTATGCATGTTGAAATTCTCAAGAACAGAGTATCTTCCTCAAGACTTCATATTTTATTAAATTAAATTGCAAGAGAGTGAAAAAAATAAACTTAGAATTATAGCTTCATTGGTATTCACAAGTGCTATGTGTTTATTTAATGATCAGATTTTTAGTAAATCATAGACAAGGTTTGTAATGATCACGTGTACTTACCAGATTCAAGTTAGAACATCTATTACTACTGAGGGAAATGCTTTTCAGAAATCTCTCTCAGAAAACAGAAGCAGGCATCATTGTAGTTCCATCATTTTTCAAGTCTATATTTGTTCAGCAGGTCACTAAAGTGGCCCTGCTCCCCCTTTCCTATCTCCCTGGGGCTGCTGCTGATGGTGGCTTGGTCCCCAGGAGTCTGGTTTAATTTCCTGCAGTGAATTACTATAGCAATCAAAGCACTGATCGTGAGATGGTCCCGGGGGGGCCTCCTAATGGAAGGCCAGCACTCTGGGGCCCCCAGGCTACAAATGGAATGTTAGGCAATCAAAAACCAATATTCTACACTCTGGCCCACTGAGCTTTCCTCTGGAGGACAAATGCCATCCAAAGCTGTGCTTTGCTCTGAAAAGTGTCCAATCAGTGTTAAATGTTTCCCATAGCTCCATCAGGTAGTTGAGTGAAATGCTGACAGCCTAAGTATTTCTGGCAAAGACCAATAGACCATTTTCGCATGGGTTCTGCATATGCACCTCATTTCTATCA